TCTCTCTCTCTCTCTCTGTATCTTTTGCTGCTTCTCTGCACCACGTCTTTGAGTTGGCCAGTGACTTGAGCCAGTGGTCCTGCGCAGGCCAGTTCATGATGAGTGACTCGGCGACAAAGACGTCCTCTCATTCCCGCGGCTTCACCTCCCGAAAGCTGGAAGCCTGTGGTCAGCCATCTGCGAACCATGTATTCTGACTGGTGTAGCTTTAACATATGTTGTTTGTGTTTCGTCTCTCTCTACATATATATATATANNTATATATACATACATATACATATATGCAGACACCGTTGGGTTCAGGAACGGTTAAGGAGCCCCGTAAAGTGATCTAAGCTGTCGCGGCGTTGTGGTGCAGAGGAGCTTAAATTGTGGGCACGCCAGCCAAACTGGGCATGCCGTATGTTAAAGGCTCTAATTTTCAAAACCCTAAACCTAAACTTTTCCAGAATAGAAAGAACATGGTTTTTGGGATTTGTTGGTGGGTCGTCTATGTCACTATACTGTCCAAAATATGCTCCATTATCCGTGTTGTCTAGGCTCTTGCAACAGTCCAACGCCTTCTCCACAGATCTACACGACCCCCTAGTTCGGTAGGCTCGAAGGTTCTGGTGTGCCCAGGCCCGGAAGTTAACCCTGCCCGGCGGGACTCCCAACCTCAACCTTGCCTGTTTTAGGGTTTTGGGGGTTTCTCGGGTTTAGGGTTCAGGTGCAGAGAGACCTCGTTCCAAAGGGTTTAGGTGGATCCAGTCGCCTGCTGTTTTAAGCGAGTTACCTGACAACCGTGGGTCGGAGCCTGCTCAAGTTTGGGGCTACCGGTAGAAGCCAACAAACTTACGCCGACCTGCAGAGGTGAAGTCGGATTCTGCTGCTTTGAACTTGGGTTTGGGGATATTCCGGAAGCTCCGAACCCTGCCAGTCCCCCTGAAGCCCTACTCCCGTGTTCTTTAGGGTTTGGGGGCTTGGGGCTTCTAGGTTTCGGAATCCTGATGCTCCAAACCTCCTGCCAGGCGCATTACAGAAGCCCACCCTAAAAGGAACCCTACAGCACCCTGTAAGGAATCCCTTGTAGTAACCGTTACATGAACCCTTATAGAACCCGTAGCAACAACCCTTCTTCAGCCCTGCCCAGAGCCGTCCCGAAGGCAAGCTGTGTCGACGAGGCCAGGGGGTGGCCTGGAGCGAGGAGGTCGGGGGCTCCGGGGGAAAGGGTTTAGTTATAGGGGTTTCATTGAAGACCTGGTTTCATTAGGGTTTAGCAGCTTAGGGTTTAGGGTGTAAGGTTTTGGGGTCTTAGGGGGTTCAGGAGGTTAGGGTTTCGGAGGGGTAGGGTGCAGGGCTTTAGTTTGGATTGGGCTTATGGGGCTATGTGGTCAGGGCTTAGGAGCATAAAGCTTGAGGCGCTTGGTCTTAATGCCTGTTGCATCCAGCGTTATGCCATGCGCGTATGCATAATACGAACATGCATGCCATGGCTCACAAAGGACCACGGGTGTGTATAGATGTTATTTAGGTATGCACATGAAAGCACAAGCGCATGCGCACATTCCCAAGAGTAAACATGCATGCTGCATGCATGCATGTGCATGCATGCGCATGCATATACATGTGCAGTCTTTGGTGGGCTTTACTACTGCGGTACAAAGTCAGGTACAGAGCACACAGTGCGCCACTTCCGAGGGAAAAGAAGGAATGCAAATTAAGTACGTCATGCACAAGCTCATTCCGCAAACTGAACGCCCGGTAATCTCGGGTGCAGTGCAGCCTTACCGTCTTCTGGTTTCGCTATGCCGTGACAATCGCAAGAATGCATACCTGCACACATGTATGAGTTTAAGGTGTCGTGTCATATACTGTGCTAGCGGTGTAGGTACATTGCCGGTATGTACACATCACTGAGTAGTGTTTATACATGTTAATGTGTATATATATATATATGCACACTTCAACGGTTTCACCATAACACACAGCCTTAACCAGAGTCGCAAGAGTGTGGGTGTGTGTGTGTGTGTCTGTGCGTATGTGCATATCAATTTCTTCAGTTAGTGTTTGTGTTTTTTATGCCTTATCCACGGATATACACATACACACACATATGTATATATATATATGTATATATACATACATACATATACATATATATATATATATATATATCTACACACACTATACATAGCGAGAGAGAGAGAGAGAGGGAGAGAGAGTACATGTAATTTTCAGATAAGCACACCTCCAAGTACAGAAACAATTTCCCAGTAAGAAGATACACAGAGCTTGTTTCATGTATTTGCGATTGTCGCCTAGGCCAGTTTCTCGGCTGCATAATTTAGGGATACCTAGGGCCTTTGGCTCTTGGCAGTTCCTCCTCTCGAGGGTTTTTCATCTCGAGATCTACTTGTCTGCACGACCTTGCATTTCTGTCTGGCCTGCAGTAGATGCAGAAACCAGGGATGGTGACGTTGGCCACCTGAAGCTGAAAACAAGGGTTGTCTTTTCATTCCTGAACTGAACCATGCTGAACCCCGAAAGCCTAAACGGAGAATCGTAAGCATGACAGTCCTGACCGGCGTCAAGCGTCCCAGCAAATTGCGGGAGCCCCTTTCCCTCATCACAGATACTGGTAGGACAACGTCTTGGCGAGCCTGAGTCTTGCATGATGCGATCCTGGATTCGTCTGGCGGCTTGCTGTATGTACAAGATACAGCGTAAAGGTTAAAGGTAACCGGAACCCGATTTGTGCAAGACCGAAATCCTACAATGTCCCATGAGCATATGCAACATAAGCATGTGCAAGCATCGGGGGTTTCGAGCATGAGCCAACCAAACTGCACTGCACTTTGGAAACAGAGGGCTCAGAAGCCCTAAACGTTGCAAGGCTCGGGGGCAAGACATGGCAAGACATCCGCTGTTCGCAGCGAACGTCCCCGCAAGCAGCATGCTTGACCCTCGCAAATTACATGTTGCTGCTCACTGATTATCATGTCGAACCTGGCTTATTTGTGCTAAATGCCGCCCGTCTACTTGGACCCACTACAAAGTCGGGATATCCTTTTTCACACCAGTCTCATCGAAGTAGCTCATGTCGCCATGTCCCTTCAAGCGAGCGCCCGAAATTTCACGGATAGACTCGTATCTTCTGGAACGGCGATTTGAGGCATCGGAGGAACAATGCAAAATATGGCAGTTATTTGCACACCGAAAAAAGCCATCTATAAGCATGGACGCCAAGGTCAACTTCTGCCCGAATGTTTGAAGTTCGTTGTGGGTTTCTCGAGGCATTTGATCTACATCAGTCTTGACGATCCAAGATATGGGGCACTGGGCTTGGTTATTAGGCCCACGCTGGATTTCGGTCGTTCGAGTGATTTGAGGGGTAGATGGTTTCAGAGCTAACACTCTAGATTGTGGCGTTGTGGGGCTCGCGAGGGAGTCGCTGTAGGCTTATAGGAGAGATTGAAACATGGCTTCGTATTCATAGCCCCGAAACCAGAAACCCGACACCTGAAATCCTTATGCATTGCGACTCCACGAAACCTAAGTCTGAACGGTAAACTTCTTAAAACGTCAACCATACTGAAACCACAGCTACGCATCCGCCGCCGTAGATCTTCGATGCTGAGGGGCATGCTTTTCGTACGGACTTTGGGCTGAGTGTGAAGGTTAGGTTTTTGGCATTGCAGTCCAGTGTTGTCCACGCTGTCATGTTACAATTCCAGTGGGCATGAAGCAGCTCCCGGAAACAACTCGCAGCCACAGTGGCCGGTGCTGCCAGGCTCTTGTTGTAATTAGGACGACCCTGCCCATTTTTTCCGACTCCCTGTGGCAGTCTGACAGTTTATCCCGACTTACATCATCAGAGGGTGGGTTGAGGCATTAAGGTTTCAGCTTGGGTATAGCGTAGGTCCTGAGCTCCGCTACATATTCACAAAGGCTGTCTAAGAGTCTAAGAGTGTTGTGCGGTTTCTCGGGTGTCGGAGCTTGAAAGCGTAAAGTCTAGAAAGACCCAATCCAATTAAGACCTTAAAAGACATTATAGGAACCATAACTCCTAACCGAAAAGCTTTGCTCGCTAGGAGTCTGTGTCATGGCTACGGCAAGCTGCAGGACAAAATCACGGCGACATGTTTGCTTTAGTAGATTTGGTCCAGGATTTGGCTTATTGGCTTGGGATTCAAGCAGTGCGTTTCCTGTTCGGCTTTCTGGTTCCTCAAATGCAACGTGGAATAACTAAACGCACACAACCTCCATGCTTACTGTAATCCCAAACCATGCACAAATAATTAGGTTTTCTCGGCTGCAGGCTCGGGGTTGGATCCCTCGGTTGCACTGTCGTGTACATACTCACTGCGCAAGGTATAAGACTTCTTTTGAGGATGCTTTTTTGGGGGTCCTTCTAGGACTTCGCAGCTTCAAGGGGTCTGAGGCTGCAGTGTCCTTTTGCCACGATGGATGGTTGCTTGGCCAACGCCCTGAACGCCAGGTTTGTGTATAGCGCAGGCATGACTGCTACTGCAGGCAGTTCGTGAGACATGTGTGCGCAGTGATGTATTTGGCCCTGATGCGAATTCTGATCAACAGCTTGAACCCCAACAGACAAGGCCTATACAAACCTCCTCGGCCCAAAGATACCCAAACAGCAGGATAGCGTACTACATACTGTAATGTAGAAACATATACCATACTGTAACATAGCTGATTATTTCATACCTTGATATGCTGTAGACCATCATCTACAACCTATTACAACATACTATAGAATGCGATAACGCATGCCCTGAGGCCAAGCACAATACGAGTTGGCCGTCGCTCTAGAGACAGGCAGGGGCCAGGTTTCTTTGTTGTGAACGTCGGAAGTCCGACAAAGTGAACTGGGAACCCCCTGGTTTTTGCCAGGACTCTAGGGTTGAGGGTTTCGTGTTTGGGGAATTCTCAGTATGGTCTGAGGGATCTCGGGGATGGAGAACCAACGACCCGCAGCAGGGGGGAAGTAGAAGTGCATAGCTGTCAGGGTAAAGACAACACTGTCGAAAGAAGCAGCGACAACGATAACAACACCAGCGAAAAACACCACCGACAGCAGCAGCAGCAGCAGCAGCAGCAGCAGCAGCAGCCACGACGACGACGACAAATGCGACTATGACTACTACGGCTGCTGCTGCTACTGCTGCTACTACTACTACTACTACTACTACTGATACTACTACAACTACTACTACTACTACTACTACTACTGCTACTACTACTACTCCTACTACTCCTACTACTCCTACTACTACTACTACTACTACTGCTGCTACTAGTACTACTACTACTACTATTACTACTACTAAAAGCAGTCACAGCTGTTGCACCAGCAGCATTGGCGATGATGGCCTGGCTCAAAAGCAAGAACAAGCAAAGAATGTTTCATTGTGGTGCCAGCACAGGAGCCGTCTTGACACACCTCAAAATCTCGATGCTAGCAGCACTTTGTCGCATTGGCAGCGCGAGGACAATAACGGAGTGAGGATCACAGACCTCTTGCTTCTGAGCAGCAACCATCAAGACCAAACAGGAGTCGGAAACCCATCAACCTTGCATTGTTGGGTCCGTAGGGCTGAGGGTGTACAGGGTGCGGGGTTTGAAGATGCACTGTTTAGGCTGTCAAGAAAAGTGAATACTATGACGTAGATAGGGCTCAGGGTCCAGGGGTGGTGGGCTAGACTGTGGAGAAAATATTGTGTCTTTGGCATAGATAGGGCTCAGGGTCCAGAGGTGGTGGGCTACAGTGTGGGGTGTAAAGGTTTGACTTAACTAAACTAAACCCGATGCCCTGAACCGTAAACCCTTTGAGCCTGCATCTCGCAGGCCGTGGTGTCCCGCAGAACCAAACCGAAGCAGACTTCTGGTACCGGAAGGCCAGCCCAGCAACACCTTCTAGGCTCGAGTTTAGGGTGTAAGGCCTAGGGTTAACGCAGGATTTAGGGTTGGCTTAAAGCTTAAATTGATCTTGGCTGATCTAAGAGTCGAGGGCTTTTTGGGGTTGGCTTAGGGTTTCGGATCTATTCCTGGAGAACCCCAAATCTCAAGGTTTCGGGTCCTGGCTGAGGCAAGATGCGGTCTTTTTTTGCAGTGCTGGCATTGGGAAGTTCACGGGTGTTCGGTCCGAAAGCAGCTTTCAAGCCTGTACTCCTGATGTGATATTTCGGTACTGTTCGGCCTTAATGCCAGTTATCGAACCTGGCAGTCTTACCATGCCGTCTTGGTCACTCCGGCGCAACAGGCCAGAGGGAACTACGCCCGAAGTATCGAATTTTCGAGGATCTTTCAGGCATTTCTTGCCGGAATCGATCCAACTGAAGCGTAAATTCTATGCCTTGAGCTGTTTGTTCGATCCCTGGGATTGGCATGCGGCATCGCGCGGCCGGCACTAAACCGTGAGGGATCTGAATCCGAGTTGCAGCCAAAACTTTTCCCAATCTTAGAAGTTGGGCATTAATCTCACGCCTGTGTTCTTGAGCATGACATGGTAATTTCTCAAATCCCACAACTGAAAGAACTAAAGACCGGCATAAATCGGATGTCCTGAATCCCCAACCTGGCACACACGACTCAAAAAAAACCTACTTGCATCTGAAGAGACCCCAACCCCCACCCTGCCACCGTAACTCCCACCATCGCCCTCCGAACACCAAAAAAGGGGTGCTAGTTCGCAGCCATGCGGAACTGCGGAACCCTAACCCCAGCCCAAACCCTAAGCCCGGAACCCTAAATCGATTGAAGGAGAACGAGACAGGCAACCTATGAAAGACCAAGAGCCCAAACCCTATGGCCCAATATAATTCTTTGAGTTTTTTTATTTTGATGCTGAGTTAGATAGAAGTCTTCCGCAGGCAACAAATACATGCACAACGTTATTATTTCAAGGGGATACCGTGATAGCCGCTAGTTGTTGCCTTGGTGTGGCGACTGTTTGCTATCGGCCCAAACGGATTCTGAAACAGTGCCACGATTGCTGCCCTCAGTCCCTTGGGGCCTCGGGGAAAATGGACAAAACTACGAGCACAACCTTCTAAATGCAAGGGTCATGCAGGCAACCTGCCTTTCGTGAACCGGCCCTTGTTCAGGAACCTTTTACCTTTCCCAATGCAACGCTGCATCCACACCCTAAAGTTCGATAAGGCAGCTACACGGTGAGTAAGCCACCACGACATCCCTGACTCATTAATTTACTGCCTGGCAAACGGACAGACAGCAAGACAGACAGACAGACAGCCAGGCA